TTAGGGGTCACTAAATGAAGCCAACTTGTGAAATAGACTTACATAAAATGTACTTAGCTGGGGGTGGGGCTGCAGCCCTGTCATCCTAGCACCAAGGAGCCTAAATCAGGAGGACCTGAGTTCTAGACCAGCCTGGGCTATGTAAAGAGACAACTCCCCTTTCCTCCATTCCCCTTCCCAAAGGTATCTAAATCATACACAAATAAAATTGAGACATAGCAACTGGGACATTTCTTTAAAAGATATTAAGTGTTTAGAAAGGCAAAAAAAAAAGTGTGGTGAGCATTAAAAGAGCTGATGTGTACTGCTTTTGGGAAACTACAATACTGTGGAACAAGCTTTTTGTACAGTGTGAAGATGTGTTGCTCTCATTGGTTTAATAAAGAGCTAAATGGTCAGTAGCTAGGCAGGAAGAGGTTAGGCAGGACTTGCAGACAGGGAGAGAGCTCGCTGGGATGAAGAATGGCAGACTCACCAGCCAGACGCAGAAGAAGCAGGATGTGCACAAGGTGAAGTAACAAGCCATGAGCCACAGAGCAGCAAGTAAATTAATAAAAATGGGTTAATTTAAGTTCTAAGAGCTAGTTAGAAACAAGCCTGAGTGTTGGTTGTATTTTAATCCTTGTTCTTTGGGGGCCCGCTACCCAGCTTCCAAATAAATACACACATGAAGTATTATTCTTTCTTATGAATGCCTGGCCTTAACTTGACTTGTTTCTCGCCAGCTTTTCTTAAATTACCCCATCTATCTTTTGCCTCTGGGCCTTTATCTTTACCCTATATACTTTTCTTTACCTCTTACTCTGTGGCTGGCTGTGTAGCTGGGTGGCTGGCCCCTGGAGTCCTCCTCCTTATCTCGCTCCCAGATCTCCTATCCCCAGACTTTTCCTTCTATTTATTCTCTCTGCCTGCCAGCCCCACTATCTTTCTCCTGCCTTGCTATTGGCTGTTCAGCTCTTTATTAGACCAATCAGGTGTTTTAGACAGGCAAAGTAACACAGCTTCACAGAGTTAAACAAGTGCAACATAAAAGAATGCAACACATCTTTGCATCATTAAAACAAATGTTCCACAGCATAAACAAATGCAACACATCTTAAAATATTATTCTACAGCACCTAAGCTATCAGCTGAGCATTTATAATCAACAATAAGTCTCTGTGTGGTTATTTGGGAGCTGCCTGGTGGAACAGAAGAGTCCCCTACACTACAAGTCAGCAAAAGTTGTATGCACAGAGGAGGAAGGTAAGCCTGAGAAGTTGGAAGCAGAGGCTGCAAGTAGTGACAGTGACATTAGTAACATCCATGTCAAAAGCTGACACAGATAATCCTCCAGTTTGGGTGCTACTGTTCCCACAGCTGTCTTGTTCTCAATTCCACGTGACTATTTTCTCAAGTCTTACTCCAGGAAGCCCAAGAGAGTGGAGATGGTTATACATTCAGGAGTATGGTGGTGATGAGCTATCTTTTCCTGGATTAGTTCACTTCTGCCTCTGTTGCATTTCCAGTTAAAGAGCCCAGATTTGGGTTCTAACATCTCTGTGGCTTCTCTGTGTTCTTGAGTCCCTGTAGCAATTACCACTGTTACTGCAGATTGCCAACTGAGCAAAGAACCCTCTCCACCACTATGCCTGAGAAGCCAAAGCTCTAGTTCATGAAAACTGAGGACTGCTTCATTACAGTGCTCCAAAGGCAATGGGACAATAAAGAAGACACCAGTATAGAAGTTCTTATCATCTGGGATTCTGGGCTCCCCACTGGGCAATCTTCTGTAACCAAGTCCCCATTCAATCTTTTCAGTAAGAGATAGACAGCCCTGACAGGTGCTTTAGTTTTTTGCTCTTGACTCTTTTTTGTTTTAAGTAAAGTAACACAGACTGTTTGTTGACTCATCGTGTTATACAAGGCCCGCCAAGATCAGAAAGTTCTCAGGCCCACCTCACCCCTATTTTCTTTATTTCAGAGTGAGCTTCCCATTCTTTTAGCCTTGGGAGTTGGCAAACAGCTCAGCAGCCAAACCTAGACCAGTGTCCATTATGGTAAACTACAATTTGGAAGTCCAGCATGGTAGCACACATCTCTAATCCCAAAATTAGGAGGCTCAGGCAGGAAAACTGTACATTCTAGGCCAACCCTGACTACACAGAAGAGACTCTGTTTCTCTAAGAGGTCTAGTTGGAACTTCAGCCCTGTTGTCTATGGCTACCTTCACATCATGAGGTCAGAGCTGAATGTTTCGGGATATTTGATTGCACTGTGAAACTCCAAGACTGTTAATAAAATTAACCTTGGATCAGGGGCAGAGCCAGAGACTAGTTGACAAGAATTAGCCATAGAGAGTGCAGAGGATGCAGGGGAGAAAGATTGACACAGGGAGGAGGTAGGAGGGACTTAGAGATTTGAGGTCTTTTTGGTCTGGGATATGTGGAGAGACATGCTTGCTGGGTCTCTGGTTAAAAAAAAAGTGGAGGGGAGGTCAGCTGGTCACTTCTCCACCACTTCTTTGATCTATCAGATTTTCACCCCCATCTCTGACTCCCGAGTCCTTATTGGTAATAGAACAACTTAGATTAAAAACAACAGCTGAATGTCTTCCAGAGGCCACATGCGGCAAATCCTTAACAGATTTACTCTCTGACTGCAGGGCAGTTTGTCAATCTCTGCACGTCAGCTATAATTTTGATATTTACCTCTATATTGCTACATAACATGGGTGTGTGGATACATTCTTTATGCTCCCAATTTAAGCAATATCCATTAACCTCCCAATATGTCATACAAAAAACATAGCTTCTTCCCAAGGCTTCAAGTGTGTGTGTGTACATTTGCACATAAATACCTCCCACTCGTCCATCAATATGATGTCATCATTTAAGTTAGACTAGATGGATATTCATATACATTACCATGATTACATCTGTCATATAGAATATGCAATTATTTTTCATTCTTGTACATCTTTTCAATTTTTCTAGAGTTAATGTCAAAAGAAAACTAGACTAGCTAGATCATACAAAGATTTCAGAGCAAGAACTGTTAGGAGAAATGAGGTTATTTCATAATGAAAATGGGGTCTACTAACTAAGAATATCTGATATTCTTAAAATATGTATACTTTGCCAGATGGTTATGATGCAAGCCTTTAATTCCAGCACTTGGGAGGCAGAGCCAGCCTGGTCTACAGAGCATAGTAGTATGGCTAATACAAATGGAGGCTGGATCATAAATTCAATTACAAGATCTCCTCTAATAACCCACAACAAAGCAAAATAGTGCTTGGGAGTGGGTAGTGAACAAAGAACATGTGAGAAAAAGGGAAACAAGTAATAGGTGTGTTTATAATCACTTTAATGAAAATAGTTTAAACATTCAAATTAAAATAAGGTTATCAGACAGTACACATAAAAAGGAAGACTCGCCTATATGTTATCAGCAAGAAATCCAACATAAACATATCACAAATAGGTTAAAAGTAAAAAGATTTTTAAAAAAGGCATATTATGCCTTTCAAAACAAAGCCAGTTATACCAAAACAGAGAAATGACTAGAAGGTCATTTTCTTCTCTTTTGCAGTGTTGGAGTTCAAACCCAGGGCTTTTAGTATGCTTGGTAAGTGTCCTCCCTTTGAAACATAAACCTAGGGCTGGAGAGAGGGCTCAGAAGTTAAGAGCACTGGCTGCTCTTCCAGAGGTCCTGAGTTCAATTCCCAGCAACCACATGGTGGCTCACAACCATATGTAATGAGATCTGGTGCCCTCTTCTGGCCTGCAGTCATCCATGCTGTATACATAATAAAGAAATAAATCTTTAAAAACAAAACATAAACCTAGACCTCAGGGTCACTTCCTAACGCTACCATCCCACATGTTCATAAAACTTCCAAATACTTGAGAGAGGAAAAAACAAAAAAAAACAAAAAAAAAACAGAGAAACAATTGTACAGACGTAACAGCCTTTTTGTAATTGGTCTCTTAAACTGTTCTACAACTAGTTTAGAATGGTGTATGCACAGATGAAATGTGGCCAGGGTTTTTTGTTTGTTTGTTTTTCCCAGACAGGGTTTCTCTGTGTAGCTTTGCGCCTTTCCTGGAACTCACTTTGTAGACCATGCTGGCCTCGAACTCACAGAGATCCTCCTGCCTCTGCCTCCCAAGTGCTGGGATTAAAGGCGTGCGCCACCACCGTCTGGCTGTTTTTAACGAGGTGGCAAACCTGAGACGGATTACCATCACTCAGGAGGCTGAGGCAAGAGGCTATTCTAGACTACACACCATGACGGTCTCAAAGATGCAAAAACGTGTCAGATATGACACTGTTCCCTATGCCTAGTGGCACCACCAACAATAATGTTAAAATAATTTCAGTTCTCGGCTAGGGCCAGCAACTCCAGCATTCCAAAAGCTGAGGCAGGAGGATCTTGAATTCTAGGGAAGTGGGGGTTATACAGCAAGACCCTGTTCGCAGAAAATAATCAGTTCTCATTGGTGTACTGCTGCTTTTCGTTTTCTAATTACCCAGAACTAGCTACACTGAACAGGTCAGAAGGAAAACAAATCCACCGGTCTGTAATTAGCCGTTTGGAAACTCATTAAAATTCAGATTGCTGCTGCCGGGCGGTGGTGGCGCACGCCTTTAATCCCAGCACTTGGGAGGCAGAGCCAGGCGGATCTCTGTGAGTTCGAGGCCAGCCTGGACTACCAAGTGAGTTCCAGGAAAGGCGCAAAGCTACACAGAGAAACCCTGTCTCGAAAAACCAAAAAAAAAAAAAAAAAAAATTCAGATTGCTGGCCCCACCCCCGCCCGCTCCGGATTCAGCAGGTGCGCGCGGTTGGATTCGTGATTCTAATACTATTTCCGGTGACGCGGCTCTTCCCAGGATCGCCTTTCTCGAGCCAATTTTGTCGTCCCCTCCTAGCGTCGACTTCAAGGCCACTAGTCCTAGGCGAAACAAGACACGGCGGTAGGACACGGCCACCAACTTCGTGCAAACACCTCCGGGACGAGATCCCGCCGCTAGGCGAGTTCCGGCCACCGGAAGTGTGCGTGCCCGCGTCAGCGTCAACGTCACATCCGCGTCGGCCACGTCCAGCGGAGACGGGAACAAGATGGCGGTCCCGGGCAGGCAGTGAGTGATGGGGGAGTTAGGGTCAGGCTGGGGAGTAAGAAGCCAGGGAGACCGAGGCTTTAGGCTGAGGCGTCAGAGGTGGCCGGAAGTGCAGGGCCGCTGCCGCCAGGGCTAGAGGCGGGAGAAGGCGAGGAATCCCGAGCAACATAGATTCCCCACCCCCGCCCCGTACATTTTTCCAGGATGCAAGCCCGAAGTTTGAGAAACTTGTGAGGAAATAAAGGAAGTTAGGCTGAGGGGCAGAGAGCGAGACTTTTCTATTTTCCAAAAGCTCGGTCTGAGGCCCCTCAGTCTTGCTTCCTACCCCGCGCTTGTGTTTCTCCCGGTTGGATGCGCTCAGGGGCACTGAGAAGAGAAACTCCTGGGTTCCTTAGAGGCCCTTGTTCTCCTTGGCAGAAGCTCAAGGCCTGCTTCCCGCCCTCCCTTCTGGTGTTAGGAGTGTGGTGCTGAGAAGCCACAGAAAAGGGTAGGCATATAGGAAACTGGGTGTACGCTGCCGTGAAAGACACAAATACTGTGAATGTGCCTGGAGCTTTTTACCTGGGGTGTGTAAACCTTTCGATGCCACGTCCTGTGGCCTCTGCATTTTAAAAGCCAAAAAACCTCGGGAAACGATCTGAGTTGAATCTGATGATGATTCTCAGAGGGGCTAAGACAAAGCAAGTGAGCGCCATTGACGGTGATGGGAACTTGCCCCGTGGTGACGTGCTGGCAGACAAAAGCAGTTGAGCCTGATAAGCGAATGGGAACTTGCCCGGCTGTCTGCTTGGGTTTCACAGTAAATTCTTGAAAAAGTTTAAGTGGGTTTCATTATCAAGAACTTATGAACTGTGTAAGTGCACAGTAGTGGGAAAAATCAGAGGACAGTTTAGAACATTTTTGACTTTTAGCAAATTTGAAAAGAGCATGACACTGTGCCTGTTAAAGATAACTGTATTACATGAAGATTACATTCCTGTATTCTTCATTCACTTCTCAGTAAAAATGTTAAGATTGGCCCAGATAGACAAACAATAATTATAAAATCATGACACATTAGAATTTTGTTATCATTGCAAAGCAGCAAGCCCGTTATGTGGTCATAGGTTGTATGATATGTTTTGATTTGGGAAATTCATCCGGAAAAAGTAGTGGATGCGTTATGTTTTAACATTTAAAGATAATGGCATGATTTCTATTCCAAAAAAACCCATGCAGGTATGGGCTTCTTTTGCCAAAGAAAACACAGCCGTTGCACCGAGTTTTGCAAAAACCGTCAGTATTTGGGAATGATTCTGATGATGATGAAGAGGTAAGGAAACCTGTGTGTCAACTCCTGCATTAGTAGAACATTGTTTAAACTGCTTTTGGATCTGTGTCTTCACCCATGTTATTGTTCAGTACAGCGGTTTTGGAGTATTAGTTATAGACCCTTTAAAAGGATTGTTTAAAGAGAGTGCTGCTGTTTTCTGTATGACCTAGGATGCCCTGCCCCACCCCCACCCATGAACCGAGTTACTTTTGCATAGTTTTGTAAACTCTTTCCAGACACTAATAGCAAGGCTACAAATTTGTTGCCATGTTTCTAGGAATGAGCTAGGATACCTACCAGCTTCCTAGAAGTTTTTCTTAGTTTCTAGTGTGTTAACTGATCTAGGATGACAATTTCTTTTTTTTTTTTTTTTTTTTTGGTTTTTCTAGACAGGGTTTCTCTGGGTAGCTTTGCGCCTTTCCTGGAACTTACTTGGTAGCCCAGGCTGGCCTCGAACTCACAGAGATCCGCCTGGCTCTGCCTCCCGAGTGCTGGTATTAAAGGCGTGCGCCACCACCGCCCGGCTAGGATGACAATTTCTTTATGACACGGTTTTTATAGTTATTTCTTCAATTTCTTGGTGCAGAAATGTTTTTTGTAGTTATTCCTTCAGTGTCTGTTAAATGCAATTGCTGTGTTATAATTGAGCTATTGAATATAGTTAGTTTGATAAAACTGTAGTATCTAATATGAACGTTTTCTATTTTAGCAGCCAAAGTAGTGGTTTCCTCTGAAACCTAGTTGTTTTTTGTTTGTTTGTTTTTTTATTTTTTTTCCCAGAAACAACCCCCAGGTGTGTGCTTATCTTAACATTAAAGTTGTTTATGTTTCTTAAAGACTCTTGGATCAGATTAATCTGTCACCTCTCTTGCTTTGGCAAAAAAATAGCTTCTCTTTCAGATTTTTCTAATTATATATTAGCACAGGTAGATAGTTTGTATTCTTTGTTGTTGTTTTTTGAAAAAAAATTGATTGTATTTGGTTTTTAAAGATTAAGGTTAAATTTACACATAAAATTTGCAGATTTTATTAGCACAGTTTGTTTTGTGTGTTTGATTTGAAGCAAGAGTTCCATGTGTAACAGAGGCTGGCCTGAAACTCAGTCTGTAGTCCAGACTGGCTGAAAACTCACCATCCTCTTGCCCTGACCTCCCTCCAAGTTCTAGGAGTCAGGCATGTGCTGCCATGCCTGTGTCGAGTTGATTAGTTCTAAGCTGTAGCCAGTGGTAACTTTACAACAATTGGATGTTATAATTAGATGCTCGCTAACCTACATTGATTCAGCTTATGAGTTTTACATTATGATAATGGAAAAGCAGCACACAGTCAGTAAAAGCAAACTTGGAATTTTGGTCTTCCTGAACTAGCCAGACAGTACTCTCCGGCACACTGGGCAGTTAGTAGGCTAAAGATAACAGCCAAGGGATCACGAGGGTGAATAATCCATCTACAGTATAATACATTGCTAAGCTATTATGTTGGGAGGCTAAGATGGTGGTGGTGGTTTGTTTATGTTTTGAGATAGGGTCTCACTGTATAGCCTGGCTGGCCTGGAACTTCATGTGTAGACATGCTGGCTTTGGACTCACAAAGCTCTGCCTATCTCGGCCTCTGCCTCTGCTTCCTGAGTGCTGGAATTAAAGGCATGTATTACAATGCCCAGAAATATTAAATGTGGTTTTTACTTAGGATACCTAGGCTTTTCAGGATTTAACCTTGTAGTAAATGGAAGGCCCATCTGCATAGTGTTGCTTTCAACCAGTTTAGAGTTTAGTGATAGCGACACATGTAAACACTAGAGCAGACTGAAATCTGGAAAGAAAATTAGGTTACTAAGGATTCCTATGTACCTACTATACTTTGATATTCATGATTACCCCATGATATATGTATTATTTTCATCTTACAGGTGAAGATGAAATTCAAATAGGTTAAAAATTTTTCCATTACTAGTCCATAGAGCTAATAAGTAAATGGCAAGATTAAGACTTGAACCCAGGAGACAGCTAGATGGTCCAGTCCATAAAGACGTCTGGTGCCAAGCCTGACGGCCTGAGCTCCATTTCCAGGACCCACGTGATGGAGGGAGATGACCAACTCTCAGTTTGTCCTCTGACCTCCTCCACTTCTGTGTCATGGCATCCGTTGCACACACACACACAAATAAGTAAATAAATGTAATAATAAGATTTGAACACAGGTCTATCAGTCTCAAACCTACATTTTCCCCATCTTTCTTTCTTTCTTTAATAATAGAACTCTAAAATGTTAGTGATATATAGAGGACAAAAGTTATTCATTTTGCTAAAGGAACACCAGACAGGAATAGGCATTTAAACAGATTTCAAAGCTGGTTTAGATTTGAGTAAAAAAAAGGTAGAGATCATTTCAGTTGAGAGAGAACAAAGAACATAAATTATAAAGCATTTTTGTGGAATAATGTGTTTAGATAAGAAAATGTTAAAAAAAATTGTTGCAATCAGGTTTTAACAGATTGAGGCCAGATTGTGGAATATCTTGCACTGTTTGTATGAAATGTCAACTTTACATTTGTAAGTAGTTTTTGAGTACTATGTTTAGTTGACATAGTGATGCCATCCCATTTTTATCTTGCGTTTATATTGAGAAGGTAGCTCTTGAATTGTGAAGCATGAAAGGGAGAAAGTCTGAGGTTGGAGGGTCAAGATTTGGAGGCCAGCCTGGGCTATAGGTATAAGATGACCTTGTCTCAAAGAAGTGGGAATGGGGAGGAGAGAAGAGCTTAGAGTTGAGAGGCTTGTTGTAAGTCTTAACATGGTAGTTCAGATAGGAGATGAAGAGCTAAGCTTTGGTTCCCAGGTTCGTGGAAAGTGAACGGAACAAATAGACTTTCAGCAGAAACAGGCAGCCCTGTGATATGTGGGAGGTACATGGTGGCTGAGTATTGCATTAAGAATTTATATTTATTTTATATGTGTGGGCACGTGTGTCATGACACACACATGGAAGTCAGAGGACAACTCAGTGTTTCCCCTCATCATTCCGGTTGCTAGAACTGAATGTAAGTTGTCAGGCTTGGCATAGGCACCTTCACCTGCTAAGCTATTTTGTCAGTCCGGCTCGGAGATGGCTGTTTCAGGTAGCTAGGGTTGGCACGGGATGCAGGGGAAGAGAGTTGCCATACAGTGCGTGGGGTTTTGTATGTCGGAAAAGTAGATGCAATTTTAGATTTATTCATTGGAATTTTTAAAGTTTCTTTCATAATTATTTATTTTGTTTGTGTATGTAAGTGGGCACCCTCTTGCCATAGCAGATGTATGCCAATCATGGGACAACTTGTGGGGCAGTTGATCTCCTGCTGTGCCCGGGGATAAAATTCAGGTAGTCAGGTATGGTGGCAAGCACCTTAACCCTCTGACCCATCTCCCCATGCCCACCTCTCCTTAAAAAAAAAAAAAAAAAAAAAAGATTGAGCGTGAGCATTCCTATGCCAGATGCACATGTGCAAGCAGAGGACAACTTTCAAGAGTTAGGTCTCTCTTTCCAGTTTGTGGAGGTGACCTCTGGCTAGTTCTCCTGTCTCTTTCTCATCTGCCCAGAGGAGCACCAAGATTACAGATGCACGGCACCGCATCCCAGGGATCAAGCTTAGGTTGTCAGGCTGTGTGGCAAGCACTTTTATCTGACAAGCCATCTCATTGACCCAGTTTTCCCCCTTTAAGAAAATACTGAGAGGCCGGGCGGTGGTGGCGCACGCCTTTAATCCCAGCACTCGGGAGGCAGAGCCAGGTGGATCTCTGTGAGTTCGAGGCCAGCCTGGGCTACCAAGCGAGTCCCAGGAAAGGCGCAAAGCTACACAGAGAAACCCTGTCTCGAAAAACGAAAAAAAAAAAAAAAAAAAAAAAAAAAAAAAAAGAAAATACTGAGATACAGTCTACATGCCGTATACTTCTGTTTTAACTTCTCTACCCCCAGCTGAGGACCAAACCCAGAGCCTTGCACTTGCTAGGCAAGCACTCTGTGGGCACTGAGCTAAATCCCTAACCCCTCCTGTTTTAATTTTTAAAGTACATTTATTTATTTATTTATTTAGTGTGTGTGTGTATGCATATGCATATGTATGTCTGTATGATTGCGTGTGTGTGTGTGTGTGTGTGTGTGTGTGTGTGTGTGTGTGTGTGTGTATGCATATGCATATGTATGTCTGTATGATTGCGTGTGCCATGGTGCTTGTGTGGAGATGAGAGGGCAACTTGTAGGAAAGGGGTCTCACTTCCCACATGTATATCCTGGGTATGAGGTTCAGTAGCCCCAGCCTACTTCACCGTTTTACGTTGTATGGCTCATTTTTTCTAGGAGTTGTACAGCCATCACTATCTAATTTTATAGCAGTTTCATCACCCAGCAAGAAACCTGTACCCATTGTAGTTGCTCTCCAAACCCTGGCAGCCTTCCCCTTTGTTTCTGTGAATTCTTCTATACTGATATTTCTCGTGAATGGAATTCGGGGGTGGCACAGTGGTTTCTTAGACTTAGCATAAATTGTCTTAAAGTTATAATGCATCACTGTTTCACATCCCTTTACATTTGTTTCTTTGATCTTAAAAATTTTTTTATTCTTGGCTATGCTGTGAATGGAACTCAGGACCTCACACATGGCTACATTTTTTTTAATTAACTTTAATTTGAATGCGTGTGTGTGTGTGTGTGTGTGTGTGTGTGTGTGTGTGTGTGTTGCATGCTTGTGAATATTGGGACTTGCACGCTTTGCACACACATGCAGATGCCAAACGAGGTGTCAGGTGTTTCCTCTGTCGTTCTCCACCTCTTGCCTTGAGACAGATCTCTCACTGAACTGGAAGCTTGTCATTTGGGCTAGGCTAGCCAGCTAGTGAGCTCCCAAGATCCGCTTGTCTACCCTTCCCAGTTCTCAGTTAATCTCAGTTTTATATGGATGCTGGAGATCCAGACTCAGGTCCTCATGCTTGTACAGCAAGGAATCTTACCAACTGAGCTGTTCA